TCGTCGGTGTATGACGTAAGTTAGTTTTTTTTTCTTTTATTTAAACTAATGGAAGTCCTTTATTATACACACACACACACACACGTGTGTGTGTGTGTGTGTGTTTATAATATGTGTATATAAATATACATATAGCTTTTAAAAAAACTGAAGTATAGTTGACTTAGTGTTTCAGGTGTACAGCAAAGTGATTCAGATTATTTTCCATTATAGGTTATAAGATATTGAATATAGTTCCCTGTGCTATACAGTAGATTCTTCATCTGTTTTATATATCTGTATCATGTATATAACATGTACCTGTTAATCCTAAATTCCCAATTATCCCTCCCCCGCTATTTTATATATATGTATATATATATTTTTTAATTTTATTTTATTGTGGTAAGAACACTTACAACATGAGATGTACCCTTTAAACAAACTCTTAAGTGCACAACACAGGACTGTTGACTGGAGGCACCATGTTGTGGGGCAGGGCTCTAGAACTTACTCACTTTGCTTACCTGAAACTTTATGCCTGCTGATCAGCACCGCCCCACACCCAGTTCAATGCACACTTGTTAACAGAGTGCAGTACTTTTACGCATTTGAGGTAAAGTGTTTGCCCCGAAGTGAGAGATTACAGGTTAACAACTGGGGGACCCTTTGTGATTCTGCTCCTTAATGCTTCCAGTGCTTGGAGCCGTGGAGAAACTGGTTCTGGCCCCAGCTCAGCTCTGTGGATGCCTAGGGACTGCAGGCTGAGTGGGCTGTCTTCCACCAGAAGGCCACCACTGAGTCACCCACTCTGTGCCATAAAGAATGCCAGGCCCTGGGGCATCATGTGCACATTAGGTCCCTGGCTTCACTGGGGCTTCTGACCCAAGATTTGGGAAGATCTTTGAAGAAGGAAGGGCGTCAGTGACGGTGGGAGTAGAGCTGGGCTGGGTTTCAGGGCTGTTTAATTGAAGTCATCTGGCTGAGTGTGGAGACAAAGAAGTGTGAGGCCTGGGGCCCTCGCGGGTGCAGATCGGCTCAGACCCAGAGGGAGCTGAACCTTGGGGCCCGTCTGCAGCTGCTCCCTGTCTCTTGTAGCTGGTGAGGGAGAACACGGACCCTGCCTGTGGGAGTGCAGATGCCACCTCTGAGAAGGGACAGGTGAGTCTGCCCCAGCTGTCACCGAGCGTTGGGACTTGAACTGAGGCACCTTCCTGCCGGGCTGGTCTGCTGGGGTTTGTTGTGCTTTCTCCAAGTTGGGGTTTTGGATTCTCTCTTTTCCTAGAAAAGGGAAAGCTGAGGCCTCTCATGCCTTCTTCCAGTTCATTGTCAGGCAGTGCAGTTGGTCACAAGTCTGGCCCCTGCTCCAGTTCTGGGGGTCCAGGCCCAGACCTGTGGAGGAGGCTGGCTGTCCTGCGGGTTCCCTGGCTGAGCCGCTCCCAGATGGGGGGAGGGGATTCCTGGAGGAGCAGACAAATGACAGCTGAGGGAGGATCCAGTGTCTGCACTGCTCAGCCGCCTGTCCTGTCGTCCCCAGGCCCTCCCCGAGCCAGGGGCCAGGGAGTGTGGCCTGGGGAGAAAGACGGACACTGCGCTGGAAGGACTGCGGCCGCCCGTGAACGCTGGAGGCCTGGGAGAACAGGTGAGGCGCCGGCTGCGAAGGCAGCGTGTGGCTGGTCTCAGCATGAGGGCGTCTGTGTCAGACAAAATGAAGAGAACTGGTGCCCAAACCGCCAGCACCACAGCAGCCGGGTTTCAGGCCTTACCAGTGGAATTACCAGCTGCGATCCGGCACATGTGGGCTCCGGGAGAGCTGGGGAAGTGAATGCTGCTGCAGGCCTTCCGGGGCCCTCCCCCTGCCCCTTCCCACGGGCCACGGGCCTCTGGGCGCCGCTCACCAGTCCCTCCCCTCCGTCCTCAGGTCCCGCCGCCCAGGCCGGGAGCTGCCCAAGCGCCAGGTCAGCAGGCGGGTCCCGCGGTGGGCAGGCCCCGACCCGTGCAGCCTTCCGACCACAGCTATGCCCTTTTGGACTTGGATGCCCTGAAAAAAAAACTCTTCCTGACACTGAAGGAGAACGAGAAGCTGCGCAGGCGCTTGAAGGCCCAGAGGCTGGTGATACGGCGGATGTCCAGTCGCCTCCTCCGCGCCCGCAGCGTGGGGCCGCCAGGACTGCAGGCACCGCCCGGGCCAGGGCCGCAAAACGGAGTCTCCAGGCCGGGACCTTTCAGCCCTGCCAGCCCTGCCAGCCCAACCGCTGACACTTGAGGAGCCCAGCGCCTCCTGGGAGGGGCCAGGCCTTGAGCCGACACTCCGCTTCTCCCGGAGGCGACAGCAGGCCCTTTGGCACCAGCTGGGCTGCGTCCCTGGGACCACCGCCTGGGAAGCCATCCTGAGCCGCGCTGTGGCAGATGCTGCCCCAGCCCGGAGGAAGGGTTTCCTTGAGGGGCAGCAGGGCCAGGGAAGGATGCCGGCGGAGAGTGGCGAGCTGGCTCTAAGGTGGTGGGAGGGTCCCCTCCTTCGCTGGACAGCTGGCGCTCCCTGTGGTGGTGACCAGCTTCTGTTCTAAGGAGCCCCGCCTGGCCCAGCCAGGTTTGGGCAACGTAATAAAGTGTCTCCCTGTGCCGCCCGCTCCCTCCTTCACTGAAAACGAGTGGCTCTCGTCTGAGCTGCTCCCCTCTCTCCTGCCAGAGTGATGGCCTGGTCCCTGCTGAAGGGCCAGCAGGGCACGACCACCTTGACGACCCAAAAAGGTGGCTTTAAAGTTTAAAAAAAA